GGGGGGGGAAGAAGAAGTCCACAAATACTTGTATATCTAAATTGGCTTCTCATTCGCCTGTCCAGTAACTCAATTTTTTGGTAGCTTCCTATGATTTTTTTTTTTGATGAAGATGGAAGCTTCCTATGATTTTAACTGTTTTAAGTTTTAAAAAGTCATACTACCACGTCAAACGGTTCAGTTTAGACCTTTATTTTTCAATCGGCATTGGACCCTTATTTTTAAACCATCTTCTTCTGGAATCATCTATGTTAGATGGATCCCTCATTTTTTTTTTTACCAGGTTGAATGGATGTGATATCAGTGTCAGTAATTCACATCAATTCTTCAAATACACAAATATTAACGGAACACTGCTTGTAGCCATACTATTCTTACACACTCACTAGTATATGACACAATACTGTAGCCCATAACATGAATAGGGAACTGTAGAACCCCACAGGACTAAATTTTCAATTAATTGAAGCTCAGTGTACTATTAACATCCTTTCATATGCTATTCCAACATAAATCTACATTTAAAAAGTAAATCAAGACTACATATGAACCTATAACAAGATCTTAAGGTTGACATAACATTATCGAATGCATATTCGAAAGAATAAACCAGTTCAAAACAGATGATGCAGGCATAACAGCTATTTACACATAATCCGAATGAACTATGAAGTCTAAACTGTCTATATTTGAGGCAAACTTGTTTTAGATGTGTTAACTAGATGAGCTGCCTATCAAAGAAAACATGTGCTAACTAGATGTCAGATTGGCTGTGGTTGCTTTGAATAGCGGCCACCACAGTCAAATCCCAAACATATGACGCCCATCAAAGAAAAGGTAAGTTAACTAGATGTCAGATTGGTGAAAGCCCCTGTAGTTTACTTCTGTGTTTAGTCTCTTTGAATAGTTACCATCACAGTCAAATTCCAGCATGACGGAGAAGAGAAAATGTCTCCTATTCCTCCATCCTGAAGGCGTTGATCTACTGTGCTTTTTCATCCATCCAAAAAAAAATGATGTGTTTCACTAAATGGAAAACTTTCCTTCTTCAATAGCCCAAGCTAACATAACTTAATATGGACAAAATCATTTCAATATTGATGTAACATATTTTAAAGGAAAAATACATCGACAGACCCTTAAAGTTGTCCACACTTTTCACTTAGATTCTCAATCTTAAGTCCGTTCCATTTGTACACTCGAACCACATCTCAAATGTGTCATTTAGACACAAAAGGCTGACATGGCAAGGCAAGTGTTTCTCACATTTTTCAAGCGCGTGAAATGGCCCAAAAAACAAACTCCTCACTTTCTAAATGCTATCTACTCTCTCTGTCCCCTCCCTCCCCAACCCCACCCACCCCGACCAATCTCTATCTTCGAAAAACACAAAGCTCTGGCGATGAACACTGATGATATTTTTCCAGAACTCTAAACAAATGCTTTCTCTCTCTTTTAAGAATGCTAGCTCTTTTGAGCTAGTTTTGATCAAAATCTAACGATTTTAAACCAAATTTTATGGAAGCTACTCATGATTTTAGGCATTTTTGCTCTAATTTTCGACTTATCATTAACATCGCTTCTCAAAAAATTTATTTTATTTTTAATTTAGAACTGGGTTTTCACCAATGTAAATGGGAATAATTCCCGCAACTTTCTCTCAGATTTTTGTAATTGGGTTCAATTGCCACTTGAAATCTGTAAGTGTATTTGGAATTACATTTATCACATACGTAAAGAAATCGCAGATCATCAAGGAAGATTAATAAAGAGTATTCCAATATATATGTTTAGATTATTAATTTGTTACATGAAATCTAACTAATTAACTTCATTGTCTGCTTCCACACTTGACAGATCTAGGGAGGAAAACAGTGGCGGCAGAGAGTTTCTTAAAGGAGACGAAATAGGGAGGAGGGGTTGCCAGGAAGAAGACAGAAGGAGGGGGGTTCGTCAGGGAAGATGACCGGGCACGGGCGGGGGTGGGGGGTTGCATTCTTATTTTTGTTTTAACATTTTTCTTTTTTTTTCAAAAGTTTTTTTAAAATTTATATAAGTTAAATCCACGTGTCCGCATCTTATTTGTCACTCTGGTATGTGAATTACACGCATCTCTTGTGGTTGGCTGCCAATCAAGTTTGTGTCTAAATGACACATTAGAGATGTGGTTAGAGTGTTCAAATGGAGCGGACTTAAAATGAAGTGTCTAGGTGAAAAGTGTGAACAACTTTAAGGGGCTACCGATATATTTTGCCTATTTTAAACTAACTACTTAACTCTTTATACATCCCAGAAAATTCTATAAAGCACTTATCTAACTACAATATCTTAGAACTATCTTCTGTAAATCTGCAAGCTAGTCAAAGGAAGGTTCAGTTTTTGAAATCTTGAAAGACAGAAGATTTGATCAGCAAAGCCACCTACCTTCCTCTTCAGTCTTTCCAGCTTTTTCTTTTGTACAGCAAGATCTTCCTGAATTTTTATGTTCTGTGCCATCAATTCACTGGTACATCTGTCACCTGCACATTCATTATTGAATCAGAGGATTTCAGCTGTTGACAAGAGAAAAACTAGAAACAAATAAATAACGGAAGGGATGTTAGAATAAGGAACAGAACACCCATGCAAATCCCATTTAAGTCAGATGATGCACCTTCTAAGAATTTTCCAGGCTCACTACCTGTTTCGTCTTCCCGGCTTATATCCTGAAATATGATCAAAAAAGTTTTGATAAAGCAAAAGTTGACATTGAAGTAAAGATACAACAACAACAACAACAAACCCAGCGTAATCCCATAGGTGCGGAACATTGAAGTAAAGATGAATCTGATAATTGAAAATTGAGACCTCTGAAAGGTATCCATCACTGTCTGAAGAATCTGCAACCACATCACTCTCATTTTCCACAAACGGTGCATCAAGAGGCGAGTCATCAAAAGCTTCAACTTCAGTGTTTCTGAGAAATCTTATGACTAGTCAATAAATAATGATTTATCGCGAGTCGTCAATGCTTGCATGATTTACCTTACAAGATAGTGACACCAAGAACACAGATTACAGAAAAGGAGTAACATAAGGGACAAACAGGCCTTCTTGATGATATCAAGCGGTCAAAATGCTGAAAAATTTCAAGTACTGAAGGAAGGCAAAGCCACAAGTTAAAACATAAGTTGGGAGAAATTTAGCCTTTCTAATTCCATATTATTAGAGATAGTTTGATGTAAGATACGTTGCCTAACGTGTTTCCTAAAACAGCATCTTTTCCTTGCAAGTCTTGGATAATCGTTTCTCCTTAGAGAGAGAGAGAGAGAGAGAGAGAGAGAGAGAGAGAGAGAGAGAGAGAGAGAGAGAGAGCACCAATAACAAAGAAGTGCCAGAACATTTTTTGAATCAAAATGTTGATAGGGAAAGCAATTAAGGAAAGAGAAAGTGAAGAGTTCTTCCTTAGAGAAACACTGAGCATAGTTTCATGCTTGATGATCCTTTTATTACAAATGACATTTAGCTTCTTGAGGAAATGAATTGCGAACTAACTCGGAGAAAGGGGCAACCTCAGCATAGCTTTTTCAGAATATTACACACTGTCCATGAGAATAAGAACTTTTAAGTTGTGCAAATTGTCAATATCTAAGTGGATTTACTAGTTGTTGACTATTACTTAGCTTAGCCACACTGCCACAGTAGTGAAATGATCGGTCTATATAAACATGACGTAGTCAATTGCAAAGAGAGAGGTCTAACGAAATCACTCTAAGACAGTAAGAGTTTTCTGTTTTATGACATTAGGCTATATCACCTAAAGATTTTAATATCTAAAGTCAATGTGAGTAATCTAGAAAGATAGATTTACAGCATCCGGTGCTACTTTATTTGTGGCATACGACCTTTCCCAAGCTGCAGATTTTTCCCATATCTCAGCTCTTTTTACTATATGCCATTGCAGAAAAACAATCCCCTCTCTGTTTCACCCTAGATTGGGAAACCAAGTCCAACATTACTACAAATAGCAACAATTTTCAACTTAGAGTAAATGAAGCCACAAGTTGAAGATGAAATACAGGTAGAAGGTCAAAATATCCAGCCTTAAAAGCAACGGCTTGTATCCAACCTTAAAATATGAAGCAAATTCACCTTTTTATTTACCTTCCATTAGAGTCGTGTATTAACTTTGCTTTGTCTTCAACGATACTCTTCCCATTTTCTACAATAAGTAACGAACTCAATGTCATGAAGATATTCACATGACTGTCCAATATCAATAAAAGTAACAATAAAATAGTGGCAAGATGTCCAGGGATGTCAGAACAGAGAGACAAACTTGAGGGGTTTGGAGCCAAGCTTTTGACATAAGTACATAAAAGCAAATAAGTTACAGGCACTGGCAAAAGAAACTGCCGGTCTTGCCATTTGCTAATCTTTTCTGTTTCTTCTCGCGAACACATGAGCTCACTAAAAAAGACCTAGAGATTCCAAGTCGGATAATGCACCTGTACACTCACTACTCAGTATAAGCAAAATATAACTTTCAAGGAGTACTTGCGTGAACATGTAAAATTTCTCTACATGGAATATCAGCTGTTATAGCTCTTCTTTAAGAAACTCTTCCAATTAAGTAAGAGCAATCCAGAAAAATAAGATGTAGGAAGGCCATAAATTTACAAAGATTATGAGAGTAAACCTTGATAGCAGAGGTAGTGATAACTGATAAGTTTAACATATTACAAAGAAACATAAATTTAAGGGATCGTTGACTATGAAAAAGCAATCAAAAATTAAAACAAGAGAAGTTGACCCAAAGAAAGATATGCTGAATTAGAAACACTTTGTAAGTGCAGATGAGGATGAAACACCCTTGAGATCAAAAATCTTTTCCTTCATACATAGAGATCGTAATATATAACGCGAGTGATGACAAAAGTTACTAGGAAGGCCATTTTATCAGTAGTAAACTGTTCCACCTTCCTGGGATAGAAGAGTTAGCGATAAAGTTTAACATTACAAAGAAACATAAATCTACGTGATTGTTAACCATCAAGAATTTGATCTATATGATTGACAATTAAGTATATCTATTGTTTTAGGTATTAGCTTTACAAAAAGAAATTCTTATCAGGAAAGAATTTGCATTAAACCACTATTTTATATTGCATAAGTGGGTACTTCAGTACCTGGTTCCATTATCCCCCAAACTTAACCTCAGAGCACCACCTAGAATTTATTATGTCTCTGGAAAGATGCCTTTTCTTTTCCCAAGTACTGCAAGTTTGCTAAGCAAAGCATGCAATCCAAGGACAGGAGAACCAAATTTCTTTTATGCTGTCAAACTTTACAGTGGAACCCCCTCGAGTGTACCCATGCACTTAACTATATGTGTCTCAAAGTCAAATCCAAAAGCAGAATAGCAAATGTGTTCTTCAGAGCTGTCCAAGGGCTGTCATATCTGAGCATGATGCTTCGCTACTCAAAATCGCTAATTTCTACTCCTCTGCTACAGACAAATTAATCATCTGTGCGGACAATTATTCTCAAATTTCCTGATGAAGTCATCAGCATTATCAGTCTATTTCCTGGTATCATACTATTTCTTGGTAATTACCGTTCGACAGTTCGTTTAATTCAATCTATTTAAATTATATTCCTTTGAAATACACAACTAGTGGACATAGTGCCTAATCTATCCATGATTAGTTGTGTCCAAGTGGAAACCATTCTCAATCAAGAACTAGAAAAAGAAAATAATCAAAGGCTCTCAATATTTTAGTGTCAAAACAAGCTCTGAAACAGTCAACTAAATTGCTAAATCAAAATATTGCTACTTCATTTGCCCTAATGAAATACTTAAAGCATTTCAACAAAGTTTAGCTGTCTTCCAAGCACTCATACTCATCTAACGAATTTGGCCTTAAATAGAGCAAGTAACCAACATTTTCTTTGATCATGTAAATAGAGCAAGTAACTAACACTAATATTCCATGACACTAGCTCATCTTCAATGAAGCTCCAGTTCCAGTTTCTACATCCGATTAAGCTCGTACTTCCTCCGCAACATGCACTAGCAACAGAATTCTAACCCAATAACCAAAAGAAATGTAACAACCCCATCATTCTTCTTCTCATTATTTTCCAATTATTCTCATATCTAGCAAATACAAATATTGTGGCCCTCAGTCTAAGTTCAATCGGCAAAGGTTTAGGCGCCATGAGAACTAAGCGGGCCAAGCCCATTATCCCCGAGTCTAGTAGGCTGCAGTTGGTTCTACGAGTTGGCCACAGACAGATTTCTTGGTCACCAGAAAAAAATACAAATGTAGAGACAAAATACATAACATACCAAGTGAACCCAATTTACGCCTATAAAACAAAAGGCTGTTAGCCTATTACACATATTGTTTGTTGCCCTGTAACATTTCCTTTCACATAAAAACGTACATTCTAATAAAATACCAGCAAATATCAATTACTGAATTTGTATTTTTAGAAGAGAGAAAAAGATATGTACTGGAAGAATATCTCTTTTTGAACAAAGCTTTCTTCTTTCGACGATCTTTAAGCACTGACTGAAGATTCTTCTTTGCAAACTTCCTCGCTTTCTTCCCTAGCTTCCCCATCTAGTTAACTATCTGGAAAAAAAATCACAAAAGCATTCGAATAACACCAGAATTGCGCGGGCGCACACACACACACACAGAATAAGAAACTACCTGAATATAGAGTTGAAGTTTCGGAGTGGTGGTGTATTTGTTCAGCTTGTCGCCTCTTCCCCTGCTTTCTACTTTGCTGTTTTGTTTTTTGATAAATAGGAGGTGAATTTCAAGGGTTTAAGGGCGAATCAGATTGGAGGGTTTTAGGCTTTTAGCATAGACTTTGCATGATCCGAACCGTTACGAATTTTCCGGGTCGGGTGACTAATAATTTTTTTCTTTTTTCTTTTTCAGTTTACACTTACTTGATTTGTTTTTTTAGTTGTATTAATTTTTCTCTGGTAGGAGATCAGAACATAGTTGAGATTTAGTAGGCATTTGGACATAAAAATTGTAATTTAAAAAAAAAAAAGGTTTTTGGAGTTAAATTAAAAAATAATATTTAAAGTTTGAAATTTTATTTGGACATGCATTTCACTTGAAAAAATGTTGTAGTATTGTGAGTGGGGAAAAATATTGAAAATTTTGAAAAAGTGGTCAAAATCACTTTTTGGTTTTGGAAAAGCTGATTTTCGAAAAATTTCAAAAAAAAATTGCAAAATTTCATGGGCAAACATACTTTTGGAAAAAAATCGGAAAAAGAAAGAAAAAAAAATCTATGGACAAAAGGGTAATACTTCTTTTATTATGTGTTTTCATCTTTTTCCTTTGGGATTTACTACTTTAATCCTGATATAGAAAATTGTCTAATTGCAATTCAATATGGATGTAACTAATTATGTGGATTGATTATACTGATGATCACTTTAAAAGACAAAAGTGGAAAAGGAAAATACTCAACCTAAAATATGCTTTTTCCAAAAATGCCAGAAGTATAATTTTTCAATTTGTATTCCAAAACCAAACGGTATAGTTTGTTAAGTTGATTTGAGTGATAAAAATACTTGAATAAGTTCAATGGTTACGATAAAAAGAGAAGACAGAAATATTATATAGAAAAACTTGTGAATCTGAAATAGTTAGCCACCAAATAACTTTATTTGATATATTAGGCGGATTTTTCTAAAATAAAATATATTAAAGATGACTTTGAATTTAGTGTTAGTAGACTGTATTTGTAAAATAATTCTGGAAATATAAATGAATATAAACAGAAATGAACATAAACAGAAATGACATAAAACCAATTCGAGCCCACTGAATTCACAGTGTTTCCTTAAGGAATTTAATCCCCTCCTAGTACCCAAGGTTATGGATTATTTCCTCCCAGGATAGAACGAATTACACACTGGTGTAGTGGTACTTCAAACCCCAGTGTTTTAGCGAATACAAAGTTCGGTAGCAAATCACACTTACTTTTTACTTTGTTTGATGCTAAAAGTATGCAGAAGAAGGAGAGAAAACTCAGAAAATCGTAGTAAAATTCTGAGCATAATAGTGTTGTATTTATAGCCAAAGTGCCATTACATAAATGGCCATTTACTCAATAATAAAGAAGGAAAATAAAGAGGGAAAATTGAAGAGGGTAGTTACTTTTCTGTTACCAAAACAGAAAAACGGATTGGATTTAATATTAATATTTAATATTAATATTCTGTTGTTAAAACAAATATTTAATAATATTTCTGTTAATATTTTACTATTAACAAATAAATTTGGTCCAAAAAGTTAATCAATCAATCGATCATTTGACCAAATCCGAATCCGAAGCCGAGCCGAGCGAGCGAGCGACGACGGCGCGAGGCTTGCCTTCTTCTCAACTCTTTAAGAGCTAGAAGAAGAGCAATTGCTTATATACCCATAAAAAACCCCTTCCTCTTCCAATATGGGACAATGCCCATTTGCCAAGGGGGGAACTTAAAATTTCACTCAAAAATTTCATTTCCCTCCATTTCCCATTCACCCTTTTTTAAGTATTTAATATATATATTAATTAAATACATCCAAAATCCAACAATCCCCCACATGAATGGGGAATGGCTATATCACAGAAGTATGCATGAAAAACTGTGTGATTCGCAAGTAAGGATTAATTGCATCTGGATAAGTAGGTTTCCCTTTGAACTTTCCGTAGTGAACTTATGCCGGATATACTCGATCAATCGGTAATTTTGATATCTTTGAACTGTCGAACTTTAGTGTATACCTAGACAACCATAAGTCACACAACCAATCCTTAACCGTCTTTGGTTCTCATTGTTGTGTTCGTTTCAGCCATGAACACCGCCTGGTTTCATAAGTGCGTAGAGAACTGGCCTTACAATGTTCTCCTTGAAGCGGCTAACACTTCACACTTACATAGGTGATTCCTAAACGTGTCATCCCGTAGATAAACTATTTGATATATCCCGTAGCAAATTTAGAAATCATTAAAAAGCCTTAATGCTTTATCCTTGGTACTGAACATTGTCTCATCACGAGAATGGACCAAAAGTTTAGTTGACAATGTTGAACCGTCATAAATGACTTTGTTTGATTTCCTTGAACCTAGATCTTGGGATCTCTAGTCTTCTAGGTAGAGTTACCGCCACTATGACTTGTTCTCGGCTACAGTCCCATTCCCATTGATGACTTCTTAACTACCTCTCTAGTTAGGCCTTTTGTAAGTGGATCCGACACATTATCACTTGACTTTACATAGTCAATTGTGATAATTCCTCTAGAGAGTAATTGTCTAATAGTTTAATGTCTTCGTCGTATATGGCGAGACTTACCGTTATACATAACGCTCCCAGCCCTTCCAATTGCCGCTTGACTATCACAATGTATGCATATTGGTGCCAACGGTTTGGGCCAAAATGGAATATCTTCCAAGAAATTCCGGAGCCATTCAGCTTCTTCACTGGCTTTATCCAAGGCTATGAACTCAGCCTCCATTGTAGAGCGGGCAATACAAGTTTGTTTGGATGACTTCCAAGATACCGCTCCTCCACCAATAGTGAATACATATCCACTTGTGGACTTGGAATCAGTTGATCCGATGATCCAATTTGCATCACAGTATCCCTCAATGACCGCAGGATATTTATTGTAGTGCAAAGCAAAGTCCTGGGTATGTATTAAATACCCCAAAACTCGTTTCATGGCCATCCAATGAGAATGGCCTGGATTGCTTGTATATCGACTCAATTTACTTATAGCACAAGCTATATCTGGTCGTGTACAATTCATGATGTACATTAAGCAACCCAACACACGAGCATAATCCAATTGTGATATGCTCTGGCCTTTGTTCTTTGCTAATGCAAGATTCACATCAATTGGAGTCTTTGCAACTTTAAAGCCCAAGTGCTTGAATTTTTCAAGTATTGTCTTAATATAATGAGATTGTGACAATGCTAGACCTTGAGAAGTCTTTTGGATCTTAATTCCCAGAATTAAATCAGCAACTCCCAAGTCTTTCATATCAAACTTGCTAGTTAGCATACGCTTAGTAGCATTTATGTTGGCAATGTCATTACTCATTATGAGCATATCATCCACATATAAGCAAACAATGACTATGTGATTTGGAACATTTTTAATGTACACACATTTATCACATTCATTTATCTTAAATCCATTTGACAACATTGTTTGGTCAAATTTAGCATGCCATTGTTTGGGTGCTTGTTTTAATCCGTAAAGGGACTTAACAAGTCTACAGACCTTCTTTTCTTTTCTTGGAACCACAAACCCTTCAGGTTGTTCCATGTAGATTTCTTCCTCCAACTCTCCATTTAAGAAGGCCGTCTTAACATCCATTTGATGAATTTCAAGACCATAAACTGCAGCTAACGCTACTAACGTTCGTATGGACGTAATTCTTGTAATTGGAGAGTAAGTATCAAAATAGTCAAGACCTTCCCGTTGTTTATACCCTTTGACCACAAGTCTTGCCTTATGCTTGTCGATAGTGCCATCATCTTTCATTTTCCTCTTAAAGATCCATTTAGAACCCAACGGTTTATTTCCAGGAGGAAGATCAACCAATTCCCATGCATGATTGTTCAGTATGGATTCTATTTCACTATTGACTGCCTCTTTCCATAACAATGATTCCGAAGAAGACATAGCTTCTTTAAATGTTTGAGGCTCATTTTCCAATAAGAAAGTCACAAAATCTGGTCCAAAAGAAGTAGACGTTCTTTGACGTTTACTACGTCTTAGATCCTCCTGGTTAAGTGTACTTTCTTTTGTTTCTTCCCGAGGTCGTTTAGATCCTTCACCAATCGACTCACATTCCTTTTTATACGGATATATATTTTCAAAGAACTCAGCATTATCTGATTCTATAACCGTATTATTATGAATGTCGGGATTTTCTGATTTATGAACCAGAAATCGATATGCTTTACTATTAGTCGCATATCCTATGAAAACACAATCAACGGTTTTCGGTCCTATTTTTACCCTTTTGGGTTTAGGAACTTGCACTTTTGCCAAACACCCCCACACTTTAAAATAATTCAAGTTGGGCTTCCTTCCTTTCCATTTTTCATATGGAATGGATTGTGTTTTGCTATGGGGTACTCGATTTAGTATTCGGCTAGCCGTAAGAACGGCTTCCCCCCACAAGTTCTGTGGCAAACCAGAACTTATCAATAATGCGTTCATCATCTCCTTTAATGAACGATTCTTTCTTTCTGCAATCCCATTGGATTGGGGCGTGTAAGGGGCCGTTGTTTGATGAATAATTCCATATTCTAAAGATATTTGTTCAAAAGGAGATTCATATTCACCACCCCTATCACTTCTTATCATTTTGATTTTCTTATTAAGTTGCGTTTCAACTTCATTTTTGTATTGCTTGAATGCGTCTATTGCTTCATCTTTACTATTAAGTAAGTAAACATAGCAATATCGAGTACTATCGTCAATAAAAGTTATGAAATACTTTTTTCCACCGCGAGATGTAATGACTTCATGTCACAAATATATGTGTGAATTAAGTCTAAAGGATTTGAATTCCTTTCAACCGACTTATAAGGATGTTTAACATACTTAGATTCCACACATACTTGACATTTTGATTTGTCACATTCAAATTTGGGCAATACTTCCAAATTAATCATTTTTCGTAAGGTTTTATAATTGACATGACCCAAACGTATATGCCATAATTCATTTGACTTAAGTCAGTAAGACGAAGCTGAAACTTTATTATTATTTTCAACAACCATTATATT